TGCTGCTTCAACGGCAGAAAAGAAAAGGTTTTTTGCATCGGATTGTTACCGGTGACGAAAAGTGGATCCATTATGACAATCCAAAGCGCAGAAAGTCATGGGTTAAGCCCGGCGAACCATCAACATCAGTGGCAAAGCCCAATATCCATGGCTCAAAGCTCCTGCTCTGTATTTGGTGGGATCAGAAGGGTGTCATATACTACGAACTGCTAAAACCGCATGAAACCGTTACTGGAGATCTCTACCGACGGCAACTGATGCGCTTGAGCCGTGCATTGAAGCAAAAACGGTCGGAATACTTCGAAAGACACGATAAAGTCATCTTGCTGCACGACAATGCTCGCCCACACGTTGCAAAACCGGTAAAAACATACCTGGAAACACTTAAATGGGAAGTGCTACCGCACCCGCCGTATTCTCCTGATATTGCACCTAGCGACTACCACTTGTTTCGATCATTAGCTCATAGCTTGTGCGAGCAGAAGTTCACATCTTACGAAGATTGTACAAAATGGTTCGATTCCTGGATTTCATCTAAAGATGAACAGTTCTTCCGACGCGGTATTCATTCACTGCCCGAAAGATGGTCAAAAGTAGTAGAAAGTGATGGGAAGTACTTTCATTAATGTATTTTTTAATGCTCATGTGAAATAAATAACATTCTTTCATTAAAAAAACGCTACGAATTAATTCCAACACCTAATATTATATACATATTCTTGAGGCTTCCATGAGTGTTTTTTATATAAAGATTGTGCGGGTTTCCTCCATATCCAGATCCATTCTTGGAATGCCAACGTTTCGTAAATCTTGCAGTCCACTTTATCAAAGCGAAGAGCCTCATACTGAGCTGTTCTTCCGGGCCGTTCCTTTTATATTGCGCTACTTGTTGGAGTAGTGGGGCGTTGTTCCTTTGATATAGGGAGAATAGGATCCTTTCGTCTGGTTGTGTGTCAGAGACCGTTGTCTTTGCATATTTATTGATTGTTTTGGTTATTTGATTGTTTTTTTTGTCGTATCCGTTTTTCTGTAAGACTAGTTTTAAGTAGTTTGAGTTCTGTCTGATGGCCTAAGGTCAGTTTTCTTAGAGACAAGAACATTAGGAAGGGGAGTTTCCGTTTTCCTCTATGTCTATAGTGAAGTGTATATTTGGATGTTGATTGTTGAAGAAAATAAGGAATTTACGAAATTCGGCTCTGCCGTGTCTCCATATCACGAATGTGTCGTCTACATAATGGAACCAATTTCTGGTTTTTTGAATGTTTTTTTGAGGTATCTCTTTCGTACCTTAGGTTATCAAGTGTACAGAAAACCAATACACACAGATAGATACCTACATGCTAAGTCGCACCAGCACAAAAAGTCTGCGATGAACTGTACATAGAGCTTTTATCATCTCTGACAAAGAACATCTACAGACAGAACTCAACCACTTACTCAAAACTAGCCTTACAGAAAAATGGACACGACAAAAAAGACATAATCAAAACAATCAACATGTAAACAAGACAACGGTCTCTAATACACAACCAGACGAAAGGATCCTATCTATTCTCCCATAGTCAAAGGAACAACAGATCGGATTAGTAGGATATTAAACAAATACAATATCCGAACTATCTTTAAACCACCCAAAAAGATAGGACAAATCTTAAGAAATCCTAAAGATCAAAGACTTCCACTCAGCTCCACAGTATACAAAATACTTTGTTCCTGCGGGCAAGTATATATTGGAGAAACCGGGAGAATGGTCAACCTATGGATAAAAGAACATCAACGTGATGTTAGGCTAAAACACGCCACGCAATCAGCATTATCAGAACATAACTTTGAAACAGAACATCAAATACTGTTTGACAAAGCGATCACAATAGCCAACATTATATCATACCATTTCCAAGAAAGTAAAGAGAAGCTATAGAGATACAAAAATATCCTAACAATCTAAATAGAGATGGCTACAACATAAATAAAATATGGAAAACCATTCTCCCAGTTATTGAAGACTGACCAATCTCCTTTCACACACAATTCTCTTCTTTCCCCCCACCACTCCAAGTAGCGTAATATAAAAGGAACGGCCCGGAGGAACAGTTCAATATCAAACTATTCTTCGTGCTGATGAAGTGGGCTGTAAGATTCATGAAACATTCCAAGAATGGATCTGGACGGAGGAAACCTGCGAAACGCATAATCTTTATATTATATACATTTTACTACTTCATATATTGTAAAATAATAAAATTTTAAGATTAAATAAACTCTTTAGTACATTAATGCAAAAAATATTTTTAATTAAAACCTGTTTTAATTAAACCTGTTTTAATTACTTTGCTAATTTAACAATAACTTCCTTCATACATTAACCAAATGTTGATTAAGTAATTCAATGTTTAATTTAGTTTACATTGTGCTTTCATTGTAAAATATTACTTTTTATCGCGCTACACGTGCTTTCATTTATTTGTTGAGATAAAAGCCACTCTCTTGATATTGAAATAATTTTCACAAACAAAACAATTTTTAAATAGAAATTGATATTGACAAATGCGTTCAAGAAGACATTGTCGCTATTTCTGTTGTTCCATCTGTTGTTTATTAGATATAAGATAAGATTAACATACCGAAAGAGATGAAATAAAATAGTTGATTTCATCATCTAACTTCATATAACGTAATTATAAATACTTTAACTCATAATTCCAATTTTTCTTGCTTTTCAAGAAAGTGTGTAGGTCGATTTGAACTTTTTACTACTCACTGACATAATGAAGATTTAATAAATTTATCTATTTATACTGTGTCTAAATTCTGATATAGTTTTAGTAATTTTATCTATATTCTTTCTAACGTTGACTATATTTTGATTGTTGGTTAAAACTTTTAAAAGTATACGAATAAATTCGATAATTATATAAAAATATGCTCGCCCCAATATGTTTATTAATAACTTTATTTCAGAAAAAAATATGTGACAAAAGGAAAAAAAAAGTAGGATTAGAACCATCATACTGATCTAGTACCTTACGCATACGATCACATGGAATTCTTACAGATTGTGTTTATAAACGCTCATAAAAGTATATAATAACATAGTATATAACTCTCATAAAAAATCGTAAATAATTAATATCTCATAAACTATTGCGTAAACTTTTGAAATCATTTTTGTTATTATATGTTAATAGGAAGGGTATATAATTATTAAAATGTATTAAAACATATATGTTATCTCGAATGCTCTCTGCTCCTTATATTGATACATGCCAAGCGGCCGAAATCGCTGAGAAAGCATTTTCGGTCTTCAATCATTTCTACCAAGCGCGACAAATCGAAAAAGGATTTTTTTTCAAGAGGTTCATACTGTCTCATACTGTCTAGTTCGCTTTCAGCTACTCTTAGCACTCTCGCCGAAGGCGAGAATTGTCAATGCCATAAAGAAAGACAAAAAACTTATTACCTTTCTTTGTTCAGCTCAATGTGAAGAATTTCCCTATGATTAGCAATTAGTTGTAGCAAAATCAGTTGTGCAATTTTGTGACCTAGATTAGGCTCATTTTTCTTTTCGAAGAAACATTATTTCTTTATGAAACTGTTGAAATTTCCTTTTTATATTATATTATTAAGAAGGCTCGTACAAAGTCAAATTTTGCAAATTGATTCTTGAAAATTTTTATTAATAAGATCATGTATACTTCAATTGCACTATAGTACACATCGGATGAGATATCAGAACAAATTTTTATAATGCTTTTTTTAAAAAAAATAGTTCTGCAGGAGTTTTTTTTACAAAAAAATAGCTCCGTATGAGCTTTTAGGAGCCTTTTTTGATTACGAATATCACATTAAAATGATTCATATTATATTGTAGCCATAATTTCAGCATAAAGGTATGCATTTTATAAGTGCACATCTAGGTCAGTTATTGAAGAAATAATATTTCCTTATGAAACCTTTAGTTAGGATTTCTTTGTTATATAGGAAGATTCGTACAGAGTCAGATTTTGCAAATTGATTCTTGAAAATTTTTATTAATAAAATCATGTACACTTCAATTACATTATAGTATATATCGAATGAGATATTAAAACAAATTTTTATTTTTCTTTTTTTACAAAAAAATCACTCTCTTCGAGCCTTTAGGAGTCTTTCCTGATTATGAATATCGCAATTAAAACGCGATCCATCCAGTATTTTTAGTCGTAATTTCGGTATAAAAATATAGATTAGAGGTCTCTACGGGTTTCTCGGCCCTTAAAATATGTATAAAATATAAATGTAATGGAGCGCTAGTGATATATTGGGTCATCTAAAAAGTATTCGCGGTTTTTTGTCACTAGATAGTGTTGATGGTCATATATCTAATGACAAAGTACCGCGGATACTTTTTAGATGACCCAATACATGGTGTGGAAAACTACTGCGGAATAGAGAATGCGTCATAGAAGCAACCAATCAGCGTTATTCTGCGTTATTCCGATGTCACGTCCGTAGCTATCCTAAAAACTTGTCCAGAAAATATTTTCCAAAATTCACAAGTATATTCACCACTGACGAGCCTGAGTAACGCACCCGGACACCGTCAAAGCATCTGACGCCTTTCCCATTCTCGTCACCGGCTATGGCATGAGCTGATGGGGGACTTTTTCGAATGCCCATGGATCAGTAGATATAATCAGTTAGTTATTTTTCGACCGCCGCGCCGGTTCCAAATCTAAATAGGCCCTTTTCAATTTCTATTATAGTAATAAGTTCCGCTTCAAATTCTCATTTTAATTCAGCCTCTATCTGACTCAGTAATTCTAGTAAGATCCATTTCTATTATAAGATCCGAATCTAACTGTTAGTTTAATACAAGTAACTTTAGTCACTTTTGTGTAATCTAACGAACAAATACTTGGTTTATATGAACGTACATGTGCATATTTTTTTTAATAAAATTCTACCCTACTTCATAAATATCAAGCACTAGTTGAACGCGATCGTATTTGCTACTTATTTGTGAAGTGGATGTGTGCTGCAAACCAGCGCTGGATCAATTCGCACAGACAGACCAAGAGGCTGCACCAATCAAATCCGCGAATTTTCACTCCGAGCGCAGCGCAGACCGTAACCATTATCCAGGATCTCTGACGACTAAACTGGAGCTAGATAACATAAGATAAGTGAAATATCACATAAACTCCTTCTCTAAGAAATCAAGTCGCACTTAATCGCACAAAGGATGTGCCCCGTATTTCCTCGCTCGCGCTCATCTATTGACGCTCAAATCTTGGCAGTGAACTCACGCTCTATGTGGTTATTTAGTGCATGCTGCGTATCGTCGTTATTTTTTCAGCACAGGCAAAAACGGTATATAATCAAGTGCCCGGAGTGTTACATTTCTGCGCCGGAAGATGAAAAGAAAGCATTATTTATAAAGAGACAGGGAGTTTTAAGACATTATATCCATTCCTTTCCCGATCATTTCAAATCCTGTAGTGCATGTTTCGTACTAACGGCTACTTTACATACCCTCGCAATTTGTCCAGAGTGTCTTGAGGTACTAGAGAAATTTATCGCGTATCTACCGGACAGAACGGAGGAACAGCCGCGGAACTACGCGAAATCTACTATCATCGGAATATCCAGTGCCCACCTCTAACCAATTACGGAGCTGAACAAATTTAGATAAGCCTCTCCTTCGGTACATAAATCGCCAAAATTTAACCTAACCTAACGTAAAGTCTCGGGTTAGTTCGAAACCGGAGGACCGGCCGAACTCCCCCTCGAGCATAACACCGAATAGCGCTAATTGGTTGTTTCAATGACGTATTCTCCATTCTGCAGTCCTTTTCCACACCATATAATTTCTAAGAATCACGAAATGAGAAGGCCGACCTCGTGATTGGTCAGATTTCGGGTCTCTTTAAACGCCGTCATTTATGGGTACTTTCAATGCGGTTGAGAATCTGTGAATTGGTGTGAGCAACCGTTTCAATACAAAAAGGCGCGAACGCGAAATCGGACTATCAACTGTCAACTATGGTGAAATTATAAACAGTATTTATTGTTACGCAGAGTACGGACATGGAAAGTGTCTTCCAGGAGAAAATTGCAAGAAAGTGTTGTTTCGTCTTTGTTCCTCTAAAGTAGTAAGTCATTAAGTATATTTTTAATATACAATATTACGACTAACTGTTTTTATTGATAAGTATTGGGTCATCTAAAAAGTCACTAGATGGTGTTGATGGTCAACACATCTAGTGACAAAAAACCGCGGATACTTTTTAGATGACCCAATATATTATATAAAATATATATTATACATAACCTGCAAATTTTATTTTTAATTTAAAGAGAATATATATAATAAATTTAAATGCGGAGGCATATTATGTAGTTTAAAAATTTATTAATAATTAAATTATTAACAAATTTTATTTCAAAATTTTGAAAATAAAATCTTAAGATTTTTATTTAAAAATTAATTTTTAGTTAAAATGTAAATTTTGTATTGTTTGCAAATATTGTATAATTTACTCCTGGTTTATACTTTTCATAATCGACAAGTACTATCAACTATCACCATGGGATGATGTGTTGCTTGTGGTATGAAATCAACACAAGGGATCAAGATATCAGTGTTTCCTAGAGATCCAGACAGAAGAATCCAATGGATTGCGGCAGTTCGAGCACTGGGCAAACCAAATTGGAATCTGACAAAAGATTCAGTGTGAGGTATGTTTTATTGTGTTTAAATATATTTTATAAGACATTTTATATATATATATATTAGGTGTAGTAAAAAGAAATCCATTATTTTCCCAATAGATGGCTTTAGTAATCTGTATCACGCGTAGACGAAATTGTGGGGAATTCTTAATATCTCACTAGTGCAGCGAGTATAGAAAGCTTAAGGATTATGTAGGTAGCAAGTTGCCTAACAGCGTAAAAATAATAAAAAAAGAAAAATTATATCAACAGATCGATAAAGGCGTTCATCTTGTACGGCCATATTAATTTGTGCTCGTGAAATAAAGATTATTATTACCAGTTATAAATAAAGTCTCGATCATTATTTTCTATATCACATCACACGACAAGCGTGGGCTTGTCTAGAGAATCTGACTTATCCATTGAGTCACTTATTCCTACATTGGTGACCCCGACGTGATACGAAAGGCCGACGTGATCTGATACGAAAGGCCGTTGTGATACGAAAGGCCATCGTGATATGAAAGGCCAACGAGATCTAAAGACCGATGGGATCGAGGGGAAGAAGCGATTAACCGGTAACTGTCGTTCGAGCAACATCGAGACGAACTTGGTTTTGAACCGAGCAGAAGTGCACATTGCCGATGTCGTAGCCGATAAGGAAGCTCATCGCCGACATCGTAGCCGACAAGGAAGCTCATCGCCGACGCCGTGGCTGACAAGGAGGCCCATCGCCGACGTCGTAAGCAGCAGCAGGCTCATCGCCGATATTGTGACCTGTCGCAAGGCCCCATCGCCGGGGCCGGTGGAAAATTCTCGCCGTTGAAAGCACCGCAGAAACATATCCAACGACAGGCGCACAGCGTTCCGCCGACGTGGGAACCGCACGGGCCAGCCCAGGAACTGGCATTCAGGACGCCATCGTCGTCGCTGCCATTGTGACCTGTGAAGGACGACCTCGCCGCCATTGTGATCTGTGAAGGACGACTTCGCCACATTGTAGTCGGACAAGTTGTGTATGCAGTGCATTAGTTTTAAACGCGCGTAATCCGGCAAAACAGGAAAGTAGATCCTCCGCGCTTTTCTTCACGAGGTCAATTGCACGAACATCAATTAACGATTTCTCCATTATTGACAGATTAGCATTGAGCGATCGAAATTTTTATAGCGCGTGCGTAAGCGATTAATATTTAAGGCCATTAGGAAGTACTGATTGTTCGCGAGCTTCGTCACGTATAGTCATGGCTCCTCCCACCAAGGAATTTCAGGAGCAAGCGATGCAGCTGCAAGCGATGCTTCGGCAGATGCAGGGCAATGTGATCGGCAATGTCGCGCGCATGGATTCATATAGGGTTCCGAAAATTCCGCCATTCTTAATTAAAGATCCGATGATATGGTTCATTCAAGTCGAGGCCACTTTCGAGACCGCTCGAATCACAGAGCAAAAGACTAAAGCGCATCACATGATTATGTCTCTGGACGCAAAAGTCATCGCGTGCTGCAGAGATCTCATCACGGAGCCCGATGTAAACGAACCATATACCAAATTAAAACAGCGTATTATCGAAAATTTTTCAGCGTCAGCAGAAAGTCAACTGCGACAATTAATAAAAGGCCAAGTGCTTACGTCAGGGAAACCGTCGCAGATCCTCAGTCGACTTCGTAACTTGAACTCTGACAAAGGATGAAAGGAATTGTTCTTTGAACACTTATCACCGCACATTAGAAGCATTCTTGCGACTACCGAAAACACGGATCTGGACAAATTAGTCGAAATGGCGGATAAAATAGTTGAGACCGTGGGTGATTCTGCGCAGTGTGCCGTCGCATCGTCGTCAGAGTCTAAGCCGTCCGACTTAGAAGCTAGGATCGAAGATCTGGCCGCTGATATTGCTACCTTCGCGTCTGAGGTCAAGCGATACAGCAGATCTCAGACGAGAGACAAGGCAAATAAAAATCGTAAGCGTTCCAAAAGCAGAAACTCTCGTGTCTGCTGGCCGCATCGTACTTTTGGGAAACAAGCGGGAGTCTGTAAGGAAACTGAAAAATTCCCGTGCCCTTGGCCAAAGCCCAAGATTTTAACGGACGAAAAGGCGGGGGAATAGAATCGTCTGCCACCGAGGAGACAGGTATGGCGGGCGTCGATTCTTCTGTCCGTCTCCACATCCGCGATCGAGTCACCGGAGAGTTATTCCTTGTAGATACGGGGGCGGAAATTTCGCTGCTTCCCAGCACTTACGCGAAGAAAAACTCCGATCAATTTCAAACTTTACGCGGCAAACAATACGCATATAGATACATATGGGGAGTCGTTCCGAACGCTACATTTAGGGATACGCCCGATCACATGGAATTTCTGCGTAGCATCAGTTCCGTACCATTATGGGGGCCGACCTGATTGCACATTACGGTCTCCTTCCGGACCTCGTAGACTCATCGATTCACAAAATAATGTGTACGTGTCGGGTATTGTCAAATCGGTATCACAGCTTGCCATTAGCACGGTCAAACCCAGTACGAAATTCGTGAATATCTTATCTTTCCGGAGGTCACCGGTTTAGAACAGGTAACTCCGAATTGCAGTAGCGATGTTCGTCATCATATCATTACCATGAGCCCGCCGGTTACTGAGCGCCCCAGGCGGTTAAGTCCGGAAAAATTAAAAGCGGCAAAGGCTGAATTTCAACGGCTAGTCAAAGCCGGTATTTGCCGTCCGTCCAGTAGTCCATGGGCAAGTCCCATTCATATGGTACCGAAAAAGGAAGGATCATGGAGGATCTGCGGCGATTACCGTCGTCTTAACGCAATTACCGTGTCGGGTAACATTCCACAACCCAATTTGAACCCTCCAACCTGCGTGGGAAAGTCATTTTTTCTAAGCTAGATCTGTATCAGGCATACAATCAAATTCCAGTGGCAGATATTCCGGAAAATGGCTGTCGTTACGCCCTTCAGGCTGTTTGAATATAAATTCATGACATTCGGTCTTAGAAACGCGAGTCAAACATTTCAGCGTCAAATCTTTCGTGCTCTAGGCGACCTGAAATTTGTGTTTGCATTTATCGACGACATACTCATAGCGTCGACGTCTCTTGAAGAGCACGAAGCTCACTTACGCATAGTGTTACAGCGATTGATTAAAAAAGTTTTATTTACGACTCAATGTAAATAAATGCGAGTTCGGCAAGCAAGAATTAGAACTCCTTTTTACGATTAACAGCAAAGGGTGTAAACCAACACTCGATAAGATTCAGGCTATTCGCGAGTTTCCAAGGCCTAACACTATAGTCGAATTGCGTCGTTTTCTTGGGCTTGTCAATTTTTATCGTAAATTACTACATAATGCAGCTATCGTTCACCATTAAATGAGTACCTTCGCGATTCACGCAAAAACATCCAATCAATGGACGCCGGTGGCTGAAGAAGCGTTTAATGAGTGTAAGGAGAGGACCAACGCGACTATACTCTCTTACTCCTCCGACGCAGCCGAGACGCGTCTCGTTTGTGACGCATCAGATTTCGCCATCGGGGCCGCCCTCGAACAACGTTTAGACGACTCATGGAAACCGCTCGCATTCTTTTCGCGCAAATTAAATTCGGCGCAACAGAACTACAGCGCGTACGATCGGGAGCTTATGGCGATCGCCGAGGCAATCAAATATTTTCGATATTTCCTCGAGGGGCGAAATTTCAAAATTGTGACCGATCACAAGCCTCTCATCTAATGTTCCGAAAAAGCATCACCTCGGCAACAGAGACAACTTTCGTTTATCTCACAGTTCACTACGCGTATCGAATACCTATCGGGCAAAGATAATATTGTGGCGCATTCCCTTTCCCGCATCGAAGCCATTCGTTTACCTGCCGAGATCGAACTTAATGAGCTTGCACAGCAACAAGATCAAGACGAGGAGCTACGGTCTATTCGCGAATCTCCTGATTTTCCGCTTTCTATGAAGCGAATTCAATGGGGGCCGACGCATACTACACTTTACTGCGAAATGACCGGCGAGGCAATCCGTCCCTATGTACCGGCATCTTTACGAGATCGTTTTTCATTTGTTCCATGACGCGGCTCATTCGAGCCCTAAAGTCACTGATCGGGAAATCCATCAACGGTATGTGTGGCCTAACATGCATCGTGATATTACAAAATTGTGTAAGAATTGTCTTGACTTTCAGCAGTCAAAAATAACCCGACACGTTCAATTATATCCTGAAAAATTTGTCATACCCGACGGGCGTTTCGAGCACGTTCACATGGATCTAATAGGTCCCTTGCCTGAGTCGGACGGGTACAGATATTGTGTGATGATGATTGATAGATTTTCGCGTTGGCCAGTAGCAATACTTGTGAAAGACATTGAAGCCATTACAATGGCACGCGCGTTTTACGACAACTGTGTAACAAATTTTGGAGCACCCAAATCGATAACTACTGATCAAGGTAGCCAGTTTGAAGCGCAACTTTTTACGGCACTTCTTCAGCTGATCGGCTGTCAACGAATTCGTACCACGGCGTAACACCGTCCCGCTTCGAACGGTATGATCGAGCGGAATAGTAGCTTTTAAACATAGAAGCTTAAAAGCTACTATTATGTGTCATGCTAATGAAGGTTGGTCACAAGTACTTTCGACCGTATTATTAGGTCTGCGTACTCATGTCCGCCTTGACACCGGCGCATCGCCTGCGGAATTTGTTTATGGAACGACGCTGCGCGTTCCCGGAGAATTTATACTGCCGGACGACTTCACTCCTAGTCCGCAAATTTTCATAGAGAAATTCCGCGAGCATATGCGCAAAGTTAAGCCAATCTCATTAGAGCATAAGCACAAGAAACGCGCATTCGTATTTAAAAATTTATATTCATGTTCTCATGTTTTTCTACAGGTGAGCGGTACCAAGAGAACATTAGAGCGTCCCTACACCGGCCCTCACAAGGTTACAAATCGTGTTTTGGATCGAGTTTTCGATATTGAAGTTAATGGTGCACAGCGCAGTGTATCAGTCGAGAATTTGAAGCCAGCGTATGGCATACGCGATGATTTGTGTAGTGCGATTCTAGAAGCAGGGCAAGCAGGGCAAGCAGGGCAAGCAGGGCAATTCGTCCAGCAACGAGCGACCAACTTTGAGAACGTATGCGCGCCCGAAGAGGAAGGTGACTTTCGCCATATAATTTTAATAAATCTTCACAACGATAAAATGTAATTAACTTTAGTCAGACACTTATAAAATATTTTGTATATATTTTATATATATTTTATTATAGACCTAAGCCGGATTCGTTGTCACTCGGGGGGGAGTATGTGAGGAATTCTTAATACCTCACTAGCGCAGCGAGTGTAGAAAGCTTAAGGATTATGTAGGTAGCAAGTTGCCTAACAGCGTAAAAATAATAAAAAAAAAAAATTATATCAATAGATCGATAAAGGCGTTCATCCTACGGTCACATTAATTTGTGCTCATAAAATAAAGATTATTATTACCAATTATAAATAAAGTCTCGATCATTATTTTTTATATCACATCACACGACAAGCGTAGGCTTGTTTAGAGAATCTGACTTATCCATTGAGTCACTTATTCCAAGACACAGATACAGAACAAGATACAGATTACTAAAGTCATCTATTGGAAAAATAATGGATTTCTTTTTATTACACCTAATATATATATATATATATATATATATTGGGT